AGAATTTCATACATCTTTTTTTCATGGTTCCATGACTTTACTTACAAAAGAAGCTATAAATTTCTTTATTTTGCAGTTTTAGTTTTAATATTCCTGCTTAGGTCTTTAATAACTCATCAGACCTTTGTTAAAAACATGAACTGGGGGCTGGAGAGATGACTCAGCGAATAACAGCACTGCCTGTTCTTGCAGAAGACCCAGGTTCGAATCTCAGCACCCACATGTCAGCTAACAACTCTCCATAACTCCAGTTCCAAGGGATCCGACAGCCTCTCCTGTTCTCTGTGGCATTGCACGACACAGGTGCACTTACCTACATGCAGGCAATACACTCATACACATAAAATAAAAATAATAAATAAAATATTTTTTAAAAAGAATATTCTTTGTAACAAATGGTGCTGGGCCCGCTTGATATATACATGCAAAAGAATGAAATTGGATCCCTACCTCATACCATACAAAATTAATTCAAGAATACACTATAGAGCTAGATATATCACATAACTAAATATAAATATGATAGAGCTAAGCTATAAGCCAATAGAAGAAAACATTTGTATATATGTTCATTATTGTGGATTAGGTGGGGGTTTTTTTAAAGATAGGAATTCAGACGTATAAGTGATAGGGGCAAAATATGTAAATTGGATTACATAAAAATTTAAAATTTTTATGTTCGCAATGATAACCATCAAGGAAAAAAATTATGTCCAAAAACATGAGGTAAAATATTTGCAAATTGTGCATTTCATGCAAGGTAAGTGACCATGGCCAAGTCTATAAGTGTCATGTTAATGAAGTGGGGAAATCTAATCCTCTTAGAGGTCCTCAGATTGGGAATAGTATTACAGTGTGTCACCACACAGTGTATGTAACCTGATCAATTATGCTTCATGGATCATGTTATTTTGTTTTATGTATTTATGGGCTGTGTCTTAGAATTCATATTAGGGAAGGACAAAATGTCAAGTCCTGGTCTTTGTTTGTTTTTGTTAGCTAAGAAGGGAGATAATCACCAAGGTGGAGAACTCTAGTTCCACATATATACATAAAACTGTTAGACGACCTATGTTTGTCACCTCACTATGAAGCAGTGCTTAGGCTGAACATTGTTGGGCAAGAGCACCTTCCTAGATTTTAACCCACTAGTCCCAGGACTTTAGAAGACCAGAGAGAAGAGTTGGAAGAGAGCATGCTCAAAGGCAGCTGTCCTTACTCTGTGAGCCTTTCTGCTGTGCTTAATTAAGGAGTATGCTCTTGTTGCTTCAGTCCAAACATTCCTTTATCCTAGTCTCTGATTTTCAGATCCTGACTGCCCCTTTGCCCCTCACTTCTGCCCACCTGCCAGTTCAGATAGCCTTCCGTTCCCCCAAGAACTTTTCAGTGGAGCTTGCTTGCTTGCTTGCTTGCTTGCTTTTCAGTAGTTATTAGAATCTTTACCTCCCTCTGACTTTTAAATTTTAACAACATTGTTTTAAGGGGATTATTTGAAAGGAGGAAGAAGAACCAGCATATACTAATTCATCATTTTTAAAGGAACCTAAAGCCCCTCAAATTCATTTTCTTAAACTGGTGAAAATTACTAAACTACTCTTTGTTTTATAAACTTCCCCAAGTCATAAATCAGAGGTGGAACAACTGAAAAGGTAGGGACAAAATTTCTATGATGGACACTTAAACCAAATATAAAATATGGTTCTGGCTCTGTTCCAGCTGCTTGGGGTTTGAAGTTTATATACAGACATTAAACTTGAATCATAAAACACATGAGATTTCAAGAAGCATCAACTGAAAAGGGTTTCATAAGTAAAGCACCTTATAAAAGAAGGTTGGCTCAGAATTAGAAAATGGGAGTTTGGTGTAGAGGATATGGAGGGGAAACAGCAAACAATTGGGGATCATTCACAACCTGTTTTGGACTGTGGAAACCTAGGGAGTTGCTTATTGGGGTAGGGAACATCAATGAGATTAAGGAAGGCAGTAATAGTGAGTGAGAGAGGGGCAGTAAATATTTGGTAAATCCTTTGTCTTTAAGGTGCTGATAATCTTGTTGGGGAAATAGGACAAATGCCAATGAAGTGATTAGAGTGCCCTTGGGGGGTCAGGAGGGTATTTTCTATGCAGCATTCTCTGATGCTGTACAGGATAGCTGGAAGTTACACAATTAAGATGAGCTGTAGAAGTACCAGTTAGACTTCATATTAGATTTTGCTCTTAAGGAACACCAGAGAGAACATTAAAATGAACCTGTGAATCATTGAGTATATATTTTATATTGTTTCCTCTAAATGAAGCAATTTGCTGTTGGGGATTAGATCATGGACTAGATGCAAATTCAAGTTCATAGTATGACTTTGGGCAAGTTAACGAAGACTCTTTTGTTCCCCAGTATCCTCAGCTATTAAATGAGGATAGCAGAAGTCCCTAACTCACAAGATCTCTTCATACAGCCTTCCTATTAAGTTTCTCTTTGTAAATTGAAAAGCAGATATCTGGGGCTGGAGAGATTGCTCAGTGGTTAAGAGCAGCAGCTGCTCTTGCAGAGGACCCGGGTTCGATTTCCCAGCATCCACATGGCGGCTACAAATCATCCTTAACTCCAGTTCCAGGGGAATCTGAAGCCCTCTTCTGACCTCCGCCGCATTGCACAACACGGGTACACTCACATATATGCAGGCAGTACACTCATATACATTAACTAAATTAATTAATTAAATAAAAAATTTTTTAAAAAAAAGAAAAGTAGCTATCTGTGGAATTTGAGGAGAGGGCATGATTCACAGTTACTAGAGAGCAGGATGGTGTTACAAAGAGGAAGGGATTTGTTGAGGCTTGCTTCCTCACCAGATAGTAGCTTCCTGTAGCTGAAAACTTGTTTCACCAAATTGTAGCACCTGACTGTGTAACATATAATTAACACTCAAATATCTGTTGTGACTACATGTATTTTATGTGTAATTTTACATATAAATGAATTTAATATTTTAGATTTGTATATGAATGTGTAATATTTTTATTCAACTTTTAGACTAGTGATTATCCTAAAAACGAAAATTATCTTTGAATTGTTTGTGACAGTTTTCTTTTTGTTTTCACAGGCCAGTGGGAATGCCAAAAATGGAAAAAGTCTACTTACATAATCCTAGTTCTGAAGAAACTATTACTTTAGTATCAATATCTGCTACAACATCACATTTTCATGCATCGTTTTTTCAAAATAGGGTAAGCTTCTCTGCTAAAAATTATTTCTCTTGTGTTTGATATTAAAGTTTTACATTTGTATTAATAATTTTATTTTGTTATAATTAAAACCTGTTTCCAGTGTTTCATAACTTTCCTAGATTTCAGTCTGTCCCATTTCATAAGAATGATTATTTCTACTTGTAAACACATTGTTTTTCCCACCAACTGTTAATAACTAAGGTAGGAATTTTAAGCATTCTTTAAAAAAATGTAGCATTCTTATAGCCTGAGTGGCCCTGTCCTGACACCAAGACAATTCCTTCTTTGCTCTCTGGCCCCAGTCCCAGGGGTGGGTCTCTCTTTGCTTTTATCACCCTCTCATGGGGCTGTAAAGTAGTTAATTATCTTGCCTTCTAATAATGGATAGTTCCTCAGCATTGAGTTAGTCTTGTTGTTGTGTAATAAATTATCACAATCTTGATGACTTAAGATAGTACCTACTTATGAGCATGTCTATAAATTGTAACTCCAGTGGGTTGTGTGCTTAATGTGTCATAGAGTGAAATTAAGATGTCTTATGAACTGAGTTCTTTCTTCTCTGGAGGCTTGGAGGGAAATGCACTCTAAACTTCCAAGTTGTAGCAGAATTAAGTTGTGTTTGTAGAACTGAACCCCTATTTCATTGCTGACTGTTGCCCAGGCTTTCATCAGCTTGATGCAGCCGTGGGCCCCTCCCTCTCTATAGGCCAGCAGCAATGTGCCATTACCCCTCATGCTTCATATCTCTCTGGCTTCATCTTCTGCCAACAGTGGAGTAAGCTCATGACATTGGATCAGGACCACCTAGATAGATGGTCAGCTGACTGCTAACTAGAGTCACATTTGCAAATCTCCTCATTTAAAGAACTATCAATATGGTACCTTACCATAGTCAAAATCTCGGAGAGGAAATCTGAAAATCTTGGTGGGTACTTTAAAGTTCTGTGTATCATAAGTATCCTCTGAATTTTTAATCGTAATTTTATTAGGTACTATTCAGAACTGGTTATTTTTAAAGGAGGAACTTTTTCTGATCAAAACCAAAAAAAAAAAAAATTGGAGGTAAAGTGCTTTTTTTTTTTAAGAGAATGCATTGTTTTAATGTATAGATTTCCAAAATAATAACAGGAAATATCAAAGGAAAGTAAATGAATGAAACCTAATTTCTTTTTCCCAGAATTTTCAACAACTCCACTGAGGGGATGTCCTGAAGAAATGAGAAAGATCTTTTTTAAACATATAAGATATTGGCCACTATATTAACTTCGCACTAGTTGTTTGAGGTTTTACATTTTTCCTTTCTAAAATCCTGTTTCATTGTACGTTGTTGTTAGGTGGCAGCTTACAGGGTTAAAAAGCAACCGTAGTTTAGTTGGGTTTTTTTTTTTTTAAACCTTCTTTGGAGGTATTTTATAATAAAAGATTTGAAAACCAGATTATTGCTTTTGGTAATAAAAGCTTAATTTCTTTACAGTACTCATGAAAAATACCCCTTTTCTAAAGTACTTCTTAAAATAAATTTGAGTTATTCTTTGTTTTTACCTAAAAGATAGTTGCACAATTTTTATAAATATATCAGTGACCTCAAATAAGAAAAGTCTAATACTGAAAAAGACTCATGTGTATATAAAGGAAGAGGTGTATCTACGAGGGTTTTGCCCTAGTCATAAGTTATTTACAATAGCCGCAGTCAAAGATTGATATTCTGTTAGCCCAGTTATTTGTGTCTACCTTGGCAAGTGGCATATACATTATAACATCTGTGTGTAAATGGAGCCCCCCAAGCTTTCAGTCATTGCATCATTGCTAGTGTGTAGATGTGTTAGAAGGGAAGTAAAAATGGAAACAGTCCAAAAAGTTCATAACTGTGCTATACTAAAATAGATTATTTTTAACTTGTTAACTCGTTTTGCTAATTCAGGTGATTCTTTGCTGTTTCTAAACATTTCCAGATTTACCTGGAAGCCAGGATTTTCTTTTTTTTTTTTTTTTTTTTGGAGAGGCAATTTTTAACACATTTTTTCCAGAAATAGCTTGAAGCAGGTTACATAAAAATATATATACAGAGGCTAGAGAGATAGCTCAGCAGTTAACACTGATTGTTCTTGCAGAAGACCTGGGTTCAAATCCCAGGACCCACATGGCAACTAACAACTGTCCATAACTCCAGTTCCAGGGGATCCAACAGCCTCTTCTGACCTCTGCGGGCATTGCACGACACGGGTGCACTTACATGCAGGCAATACACTCGTACACATAAAATAAAAATAATAAATAAAATTTTTAAAATATATATATGTATATACACACAATAAAGGTTAAGGGGGCAAAATAGGAATAAGAAATCAAAGACCAAAGATTTGAAAGACCAGGATTTTCACCTTTTTACTGCTATCACAATGTAGAGTCTAGACCAAGAATTATAAACACTGATAGTTGTTGGGGTAGGTAAACAGTATAAATTGGGGGTGGAGGGTGGCAATCCAGAAAGGTGGAGGCACCCTAGAGAGCATATAGTCCATCCAGAGAGATCAGTCAGTGGCTGGTGTGTCGTGGTTGGAAGCCCATATGCAGTTACAATTTTTTCAAGAAAAATCATAAATAAAAAACTTTATGTATCTTCCAATTTTCCCACATTGAATTAATTAAATTTTAGAAAGATATCATAGATTAAACAACATAAGCTCTTTACCACCAGTTTGCCATTTCTGAGCTAGACTATGCAAAGAGAATACATTTTATGAAGATTCTTGAAAAGATAAATTGTGTATGTAATCAAAATCAGTTCCCTCCGGAAATGGAATTAAATAGTAAAAATAATTATAGCCATCAAGACCTGGATTTAGATTATTTAGGTTTAGCTTTAAGAAGATAGCCAAAATGTGTGCTGTCTTTTCTTGCCTTTTCCCCATTTGTACTTTCCATCCTTTTTTCCTCATGGTAAGGCAGTGACTCCAGAAGGCCAAAAAATAAATGAAAGAGACCAATGGAATGACTTCATTTGCCCATCTCTTCAGTTTTATACCTATAATAAGAGGCTGGGGGTGGGGGGATGAAAAGTGTTCTCATATTCAGAAGACACAAACCTTCCTGTATATTCAGTCTGAGTTTAATTGCCCTCAACAACCTCAGAATCCATAGTCAGATCTTATTTCTTTGACCAAGCATGTTTCCTGTAACACAGGCAGTTTTTGATTATCAGGTACCATTTCTATATTAACTAACCAATTGGCTACAGGTTTATCAATCTTATTTTTCTTTTTCCTTTTTTAAATTTTTTTTTTAATTTTGTATATGAGTGTGTTGCCTGCATGTAAGTGCACCATGTACATGCAGTGCCCACAGAGGCCAGAACAGAGCATCAGATCCCCTGAAACTGTAGTTATTGATGGTTGTTAGCTGCCATGTGGGTGCTGGGAACTGAACCTGGGTCCTCTGCAAGAGCAGTAAGTCATCTTACTCACTGAGCTTCATCTTCAGCCCCAGTCTTATTTTTCAAAAAATACCAGCTCTTGATTGATTCTATATATATTGTTCTTTTAGTCTCCATTTCATTTGATTTCTGTCCTGATCTTTATTCTTTTTTGCCATCTACTACATTTGGCTTTCGCTTGTACTTGTTTTTCTAAGACCTTGAGTTCTGAGACCTGTCATTAAGTTATTTGAGATCATACTGATATTTTTAATGTAAGCACTCATAGTTATAAACTTTCCTCTTAGAACTGCCTTAACTGTATCCCAGAGGTTCTTGTAAGTTCTAGTAATATTTTCATTTTCATGTGATTCTAGACAATTTTCAGCACACACCCTGCCCCTCCATTAAGAGTATTATTGTTTAGTTTCCCAAGGTATGTTTTTCTAGTGGGTGGGCAGCAAGATGACTCAGCGGGCAAAGGGACTTCCTCCCAAGCCTATGACCTGAGTTTAATCTCCAGGACCCACACGATGGAAGGAGAAAACCAACTCATGCAAGTTGTCCTCTGACCTCCACACATGCCCCGTGATACACACACACACACAGAGCAGATAAAATTTTTTAAAAGAAATTGCTTTATTTTCTATTTAAGAATTGCTTTGTGACCTATAATATGATCTGTTTCAGAGAAGGTCCCATGGGCTGCTGTATATTCCTTTTCTATTAGATGATATATTCCTTTTCTGTTAGATGATATATTCCTTTTCTGTTAGATTGTGTGTGTGTGTGTGTGTGTGTGTGTGTGTGTGTGTGTGTGTTTGTGTGTTTAGACGTTTTTAGCAGGTCAACCTTTTTCTTTTAACTATTAAATTTTTTGTGTATTTCCTACAGAACAGCTCAAACAATCTTAATCATCTTTATACTCCCAGCCCCACTGGCACACTCCCGTAGCGCCCCCCACCCCCCACTGGAGCTCATATACTCTGTCATCCCTGTTAAGGCCCACTGGGTTGTCAGTGTCTCCAGCTGTTCCTCAGTGCAAGTCCATCCACTAAGTCTAGTCAGCCTACCTAGAGTCCCTTGTTTTAGAAAGATCAGCTTTTCTTCATCTAGCAGCAATCAGTTGCCAGCATTCCTTCAGATAAGATTGAGGTCTGCTGTTCATTTTCCCAGTTCTATGCTGGGTTATTGTCTGCCTGAGTTTGCATGGGACTTGTGTATGCTGACACCATTGCCATAGAATCATGTGAGCAGGGTCCTAGGAGCTTGTAGGACTCTGCTTCCATATGGTCATGTACCTCCTCCCTGGCTCTTAGAATCTTTCTGCCCTCTCTTCCATGATGGTCCCTGAGCCTTGGGTGGGTGAAATTTAATAAAGGGATCCTGACCAAGGACCTCATTCAGCAGACTTGATCTCTACACTTTGGCTGTTCTTGGCCCTCTGCTGCATGAGGGAGCTTCATTACTGAGATCTGAGAGATTCATTAGTGCCCTCTTCATTATCCCTGTTCTATGTTCCATGAACCTTAGGTGTAGAGGTTGCATTGTATGTGTCCCTTAGGCCTGGGCAGTTCATAGACAATGT